GTGTACGGAGCTGGTGTGGCAGAATAGAACTGTAGAGGCCCAGCCCCTCTTGCCCTTAAGGAATGCCACTCTTGGATTTTGCCAGAAGATGTCATTACCCTGTGGTGCCTGGTGTTTTCCTGACCTGAAGCTGGATTGCAGTAGGAGAGATTAGGGGTGTGATACAAGATTAGAGGGGTTTTTTGGGGGGTTTTTTTTTGCTTTAATCTGAAGGCAGTATTTCAGCAGAATGCTTTTACAGTAGTGCTAGGTTCAGACTGATGCTTCTTGTCTGATTTGTTTTGCTCCGTTTCAGTGAGAGCCACAGGACAAGGTGGAGATTTGATGTCAGACCTCTTCAACAAGCTCATACTGAGGCGCAAAGGTACTGTCCTGCAGGGTGGGCGGCTCCTTCCCCCTAGGAAAGAAGGGGTCATGTGTCAGCCATGGCCCCAGAAACAGAAACACTTTCCACAGGGAGTGTGCCACAGCACACACTTGCCAAGTACCCTGGAGCATTTAGGGCTGGTATTACCCCTCAGCACCTGGCACAGGGCAGAGGAGGGCATTGACTTGCTCAAGTGGAGTTTTAGTTTGATTTAAAGTTTTAGTTAAATGAGCCCCTGGCCCAGGGCTGTGGCAGCGTTTAGGCATGTTGGCCGTTCCCCTTGCCTGGGTGCAGGGAGCAGCAGTACGAAGTGCGGTTTTCCCTGTTTGATTTAAAGTTTTAGTTAAATGAGCCCCTGGCCCAGGACTGTGGCAGCGTTTAGGCATGTTGGCCATTCACCTTGCCTGGGTGCAGGGAGCAGCAGTACAAAGTGTGGTTTTTTCCCCCTCCCCTTTGCTGGACCTCTGTATTCTCGAATCCGCAGGTGTCACTCACTGGTGCTTTTCCGTCCCTCACAGGTATTTCAGGGAAAGGAAGTTTTAGTTAAATGAGCCCCTGGCCCAGGACTGTGGCAGCGTTTAGGCATGTTGGCCATTCACCTTGCCTGGGTGCAGGGAGCAGCAGTACAAAGTGTGGTTTTTTCCCCCTCCCCTTTGCTGGACCTCTGTATTCTCGAATCCGCAGGTGTCACTCACTGGTGCTTTTCCGTCCCTCACAGGTATTTCAGGGAAAGGACCGGGAGCCTCTGGAAATGCCGATGCTCCTGGAAGTCCCGCAGGTGCCTTTGCTCGTATGTCGGACTCAATACCACCCCTCCCACCTCCACAGCAGCCCGTGGGTGAGGAGGATGAGGATGACTGGGAGTCATAGATGGATTAGTGGGCATCAGTGTGAATCCCCAGATGCTTGAATTAAGCACGTTTGAGAGACACCAGCCTGTGGAAGTATCTCCTGGAGGGTGGGCACTGGCATGGCAGGGGGCCCCCTGCCCTTTCTTTTTTGAAGAAGAGCAGGAGCAAAAGGAGCTAACTGCTACTGAAGTTTCAGTTATCAATGAGGGCTTTTCTTCTGCTGTCCTCCACCCCTGATACTACATTCCATCTCGAATGCTGCTGTGGCTCATGCTGGCACAATAAATCTACCTTGGCTAGCAGGCAGTGGGGCAGCCTGTGCTCAGAGGATCAGAAGTAGCATTGCCTCTGATGTAAAGGGCCCTCAGTCGTTCCTAATATGATTGGTGATGGCTGCAAAAGCATCTCTTGCAGGCAAGCAGTCCTTGCCTCATTTGTCTCTTTGCTGCTTGCTTGCTGAAGCTCCTGTTGGCTTGGTTGTTGCTAGAAGAGTGTGAGAGTGTCCCCCTTCATGGGGTGGGGTCTAATGCCTGGTGCCTCTGCACTTGGTGGTTTCTTTCTCTGCCTGGCTTAAGGTAATTAAAAAAAATGCTCTCAAACCAGGGCAGTTTGTTGCTGTCTGAAAAAAATGTCAATAAAGCAGCCTTCGCTTTGGTAAAAGTAGGATGTGTGCTCACTTAAGAGTGTGTTAAGTGAAAGCCCAGCTCTGGTCCCTGGCAGCGGCTAGGCCTGACACCCCAGCACCACCAGCCA